CTGTTATGTCTATATTGTACAATTATTATTACTTTGAAGTTGGTGTCAGTCAATGTAGATTCATTACTTAATTGTACTATACTTTCAATTGTCAATTGTTATGGTAAAAATGTGGAAACCCTTACGTAGAAATATCACTGCATACCTTGGCTGACACCGACATCAAAGTAATAATAATTGTACAATATAGACATAACAGTTACAATAAGGTAGGTTTACTATTTTCAAGTAATTATTTCGTTACTTTTTAGTGTACTGTTTTTTTGAGAATATTTTGTTTTGTTTTTAGTGTATTTTGTTTGGAAGTTGGTTTTGTTTTTTTTTAATCTATACTATTATGATAAAGCGTAACCACATACTTCTTTGTTGCCTAAGATGTCAGCAATAACAGGATATTTTTGAATAATCCTCTTTTTAATAAAAAAAGATACATATTTTAACGTCATTAAAATTAGGGGGTAAATATTTTGGATAAAAACCCTAATTTGGGAAAGAGACCATAAGTTGCTACCAACATCAAGGAAGCAAGGTTGTCATCATGTCATGTCATTTTGACATTTGTAATTGATAATTTGACAAATGTAAACAAAAAAATAAAATTTTCATAATTTCATGCGGATGAAGTCGCACCTGAACAGCTAGTTTACTATATTCATGTTTTATATGTTTTCAGACAGTATCAAGCAATAGCAACAGTCACCGGGGTAGATCCCTATTTGGCTAAACCATTTGTGTTTCTGTTATCTTTTTAATGTTATTATGCAGGTGATATAGTAAAATAGTGCCGATAAAAGTATTGAATTGTATAGCAAATTTATTTCAATTCATAATCTTAATTTAACTGCTTATTTAATAAAAATAAAAAAAAAAAACTTATTGTATATATAAATTAGACATGAATGTTTTGTAATTAATTGAGTTACCTGTGTTACAAGGTTTCTATCTTTTAATTTATGCTTTAGAAGATAATAGTATTAATGTACTAACCATATTTAAAACGTCAAAAACGTAATTGGAATGTTTTTTTAAAGTTCAGTAATGCCAACACGTAGCATTAGTTACTGCGATCTAATCTAACCTCGCTGCAGTTTTATGGAGAAAGTCCTTTCCATTAAACATTATTTAAGATAATACAAATTTAAATGTTACTTGCATAAAAGATGTAACAGTATTCGCAACATGCAATGCTAATTTCACACGAGGGCATTCCAGTAAACCGGACCATTAGTATTAATTGTAATTGTTTACTAAACCAAGACAAAACAGTAACAAACAGTACGTCTTCAAATAATAGTAGTGATGCACTGTCTTCTGCCCTCGTGTGAAATAAGCGTAACGAATGATAGATTATCGCAATGAACGGAGTAATATTTATAATTACTGTTCACGCAACACACGGAAGGATGTAACTATAGCGTGTAACTGTTTTAATTTAGGGTGACCATGAAATAGGTTTTCTATGGACTTGATTTTTAATAGAAAAGGAGAAAAACGGAAATGCATTTTTGGCTTCCTTTCATTGGAATTTATACAAGCTTTCGCCCGCGACTCCGTCTATGTGGAACAGAAAAAACAAACGTGAATAGCTTATATGTTCTTTCAGATGTGTATGCCTAAATTCCTCGAAATCCGTTCAGCTGTTTACCCTACAAACTCTAACAAACATCCATCCATTTACTAATCTTTCTTATTTATTATATTAGTAAGTTAATAAGCATAATGAAATTTAAAGCTAATTGTAGATTTACAAATAAAGACCAAAATTGAAGGAACTGAAACAAAATTTATAAGTAATGCGACATTTTTTATTTTTTTTTTCCTTCAAGTCTGAAACAATTTCATGGTCACTGTTCGTGTTAAAAATGGCCAATGTTACGTTAAGACTGTTATGTTCAGTCTTTCGTGATCGTTATTTTACTAACCTAAACTACTAATCTACTTTATGCATATGGAATTATGACAATTGTTAAAATAATAAAAGGGGTGACAATCTGAATAAATACAAGTGTAGTTGCATTCTGGGGTTAAAAGTATTAGCTACACTTTCATTGACCTCAAATAACGACCTAAATACTATTAACAATAGGTTTCAATTTACAAAAACGTCATATTAACAGTTAGAACGACTTCCGTGGAAGCAGACGCTATTTACGTGTTTAGAATATCAGAAGCCCCAATAGAACTGTACCTTTACAGTACGTGTACTGAATTGAAGATGAATAAATATTTGTCAAGGAAATATCACTCATATTTCTTTTAAGTTTGACTTTATCTTTTCAAAAGTTGAATGACATTTAGCCATATTTTTTGCTTTATGGTTATTATTAATAATGTTTTGTATCTTTTTAAGGGACGGCATTTTTAAATGAAATCTTCTTTTTTAATGTTTTTTGTGTAAAAATCCTGTTTTCAATGTGCCAGTGATGTCAGATCTTTTAAAAGGTATTTTTAGGAGAGGTATTTTTTTTTGCTACCTATGTTTTGCACAGAACCGGTTGCGTTGTTTTGAGTATTTTTTCTTACATTTAATAAAAATGTAGGAATTTACCTATTTTTAACCTATTATCAGTTAATATTTTATTGGATATTTCATTATATCTTTCGTCCAATTATAGTCATATAGGTTTGCCTATGACTCTCCCTTCTAACATCAACCGTGTTGTGCTCGTCTTTACAGTTACCGTATGACGTCATCGGCAAAGCTGCCCACAGTAATAATAACAACCTTCATTATTCAATCAATTTATTGATGACTGGTTGTTGCCCGCGACTTCGTCCACGCAATTTATCGCATATTAAGATAAAAAGTAGCCTATAATATTCCCCTCTATGTCAGCTACCCTACACGTTTCGGAGATTATCTGGAACAAACGCGGCTTGCGGACAGACAGACAGACTTACAAAAAATGCGATTTTCGTTATTAGGAAGGCAAATACATCCTCTTTCTGAAATCTGGGTTTTTTTAATGTTACAAACAGACTCTCCAATTTTCTTATATCTATAGATCTACTAATATGGCAAATCTACTTTGTAAGAGAAGTTAAGAATGTCAAGTTATTTCATTATACTTACAAGGGCATTCCAAGTGACATTTTATAAGTGTAAAGTATTTAAACGTGCAAGTGAACTAGGAAGATGGGAAACACTTTCGCGATGAATCAGTCGAGTTATTCGTATATGTAAACTTTTACTCTCCATACTACCGGTGTTCTAAGAAACTCAATGCGACTTGTTTTTGTGTTGACATGTACAATTTTATAAACCATGTTTTAGTTATTTTTTTTTAGGAAAATAATTGCTTTTATTATAAAAAATAGGCTTCATTTAACTTATTCGTCTATATTCCGATTAACTACATTTGTTTCTTTTTTTTATTAAACATACTAATTGTAATTTTCACCACGAAGGTGTTACGTGAATTGTAACGATTTCACTTTAATTTTATTGAATATCGGAATGTAATATTTACATAAACAAGCCGACTACGTGTTTGCGAATATTTTACAATTTCAGTTACGAAACCTGTAGTCAAATGTATAGATAAAATTAATTAAACAAAAGTGTATTTGTTTATTGAACTCGTAAGTTGTATAAATTCACTATCTTTTGTGACAAAAGCCATATAAAAATACGCGTATTGAAACTGCAATAGGATGTTTTAAAATAATTATTAATAACTACTATTCTACTTTCTCATACATGCTTGTATTGAACCCATATTTAAAATACAAGATTTAATTCATATCCTAAGCAAATCCTATATGGGAGAATCAGCGTGAGACGTGGAACACGGAAGGTAAATAAATAACTGGCTTGGAACTGGCAGACTAGATAATTTACATGACTTACACGTATCCTGTGGGAAATGATTGTTTTGTAATGATATAGTTATAAAACAATGCTTTTCTTTGAATGGCTCGCAAGCAAAGCTACGCTTAGTTCCGTAACGATGTATTTTTGGTGTTCAAATCTGTAAAAACCTGCATCACAAAGTTACAATCAGTTAAATACACTCTCTCTTCTATTCCTATGTCCCCAAAGTGGGACAGAAGGCGTCCACAGTACGCCGCCAGCTCGTTCTAGTTAGGGACCTGCTACAGCCGCACATTCGCGACCACTACCATGTGCTGTAGCTGCCAAGGATGCAGGGCCAAAGGGCGACTGTTCTGTGCCCAAAACAGAACCAATCACTAGGGAGGATACCCGAAACAAACCGAGTTTGGATGTGAACTCCAGGGCACAGTGGGTTAATCACCTGCTTGTCCGAACTTTTCTATGATTCAAGAAACGAACACAGTTAATTACACTAATATTATAAATGCGAAAGTTTAGATGAATAGGTAGATGGATAGATGTTTGTTACAGCTTGTAGCCTAAACAGCTGAACGGATATCGATGAAATTTGGTACAGATGTAGAGGATAGTCTGGAAGAACACATAGGCTACTTACCTTTTCTTTTTTTATTCCACGCGGATGGAGTCGCAGGTGTAAACTAGCATAATATAAATGCTTGCATGCTTGTAACAAATTAATCTCGTAATAGTAAAATCGCAACGAAAGGATCGAGCTTATAGCGAAAAATACATTTATTAAAGTACTTACTTGTTTATATAGCATATCTCCAAGGAGACAGCAACTATTGTAATTAACTAAAACATTGCACTATTATTTAATAGAGTTTCGTGTAATGACTCGTGAACCAATATTTCATTATGTAACAATGTTAGCAAAAAAAGGTTCTCAGAATTCATTAGCAAAGTCAATAAATACGAGTTTTCACATACAATGAACGGTTGCTTTACATATATTCAGTCTTACTGGAAACACTGTTTTCGCTGTTTCAAAACCCATTAGTATTATTGCTGTTGTAAAAAATAAAGGAGCGTTTGCATCTTTTCGACGGGTCCTCTGATACAAGAATCGGCGGTTGCTTTCTTAGAGACCACTACTTTGTAGTATGTTTGAGCTATAGTTAATTTGTTTTTTTTTTATTTACAGAACCATACAAATGTCAAGACCTCCGCAATTTAAATAAAACTGTCTTCTCATTTGGGATTGAGATGAAGTGGTTTTTCGGAAGTATATTTGCATATTAAGGATGTATTAAATGTACTTTTTAGTAGAAAAATTGTTTACAAAAACTAAAGTTTAATTTAACCAAACAAAGCTAGAAAGTATAAAATTATGTCAGTAAATAATTCATAACCTCAAAATTTAATCTGTCAAATACAATCGGAGGATAAAGCGCGCAATTGAACATGTCAAAACTATAAGAGAGAGAAAGAGATATATTATTAGAAGATGTCGACGAGTAACGACCTGAGTGATATGGACTCGTCTCCTAAACTGCGGATGAAGCCTGCAGTTAGCAGAATATTTTGTTGCAGCGTTACTGCCGCTTCAGGATTTATTGCAGCTTATGCTTTGGTAAGAGATTTTGATTTAATTTACGCATTAATGGCCGGTTTCCCAGCTACTTTTAAGCATTCGTTAATATTTATAGTTCGATAACTTCATGAAATGCTTTTCCGAACTACGTAGGAGTTTTACTCATATAGTCATATTTAAGGGAGACCCTAAAAAATCTATACTAAGGTTATGCAGTAGTGTCACATTTTAAAACTTATGTATGTAGCTTCTGTGATATAATAGGATGTATTTCATGCTCGATATAACTTATGTGATTTATGATTGAGAACACTACATAATTTGTCAGTAAAAAACCGTGTCTTGGTAAACTGGTTGCTATACGATTATCTCACGTTGTGTTGAAATTGCGAGAGTAAACGCAGCGCCCATTCGGAATACGTAACAGATCGGAGGCTGGTTTCCGACAGACATTTGGCCGGTGCGATTGCATTTCGCGATTAACATTTTTATATGGATATTATGCAATCTTGTAACGAAGGTATGCTTTGAATGGTAATGAGTTGTAGGAAACCAAGGTTTTTACATAGTTTTTTTGATGTTTTCATCCACCCTAAAAAAAGCATTTGAGTTAAGTAGATGTCTCCATATCTTTAACACCTTTACAGCGGCAAATAAAATCATAATCCTTCATCTGGTGCGGCGGCGGGCCTAAATGCGCCCCTAATGACATTTCCGCCAGTGCGTGTCAGGTCTTTTTAGATCCACCAGTACTAGGATAGATTAAATTGCTAAAACTTTGTGGAAATACTCTAATAATCATTTCGCACTATCGAGAGGGAGATAGTTTACTTGGTCCGCACCGCTTTAATAATACCGCGTCAGGCCGATATCTTTCCGCAACCAAATCCATTTCGCACTCTCCCACAAAATTGGGAAAAGGAAGAGGAACTAAAATTAACTTACAGCATGGTACATACACTTATCACTTCACGTCTATCTTCTGTATTTGTATTATATTGCATCAAGCTAGTATGCTATGCCAGCAGCTAATGCTGACTCTACTCGTGGTAACATTGAAGGTTGTTGCAGGTGGCTTACGTGATCGCGCTAGTGTATGAGATCGTGTGGGTGGTGGAGTCCCAGGGAGGGCTGCCGGTTGCCTCCGCGCTCCTCATGATCTGTTATTGCGTCGTCATCGCTGCCACCGTCACCCTTGTGCATGGATTAATATCTGTGAGATATTTTATATTTACAACTGTTAATACTATCATATTTAAGTCTACTATTTTTAAACAATTAATATAATTGTAACTATACTAGCGATATAAATTTAAACACTCAGCTAGAGTTCTCGCTAGGATCGCGCGCGATCTCTAACACGTCTGACATTTGACAGCTGTCAGATAGGGACGGGACGTATATGCAGATAATCTAGTGTTGCGCCAATCCTACAGCGCAGTACTAATTTTTTTTTCTCGTAGTCTTTACTAGCTTCTGCTTACTTATTGTTATATACTATCAATATTTTTGATTTTACACTGAAATTTAAAAGCAAAAAGTTAACGTAATACGAACATATTATGCGAGACGATCAGGACATAAACAAGAAAGTGTTAAGTGTTGAATGTGGATGGCTGGATTGTGTGAAAGAGGATATGTTTAAGAAGGGATTTAATTCAGATATGATGGCTGATAGAAATGGAAGAGCACCACATACTGCGCCGAC